CTCCCCGTTAGCTCGGGTCCGTGGTGTCGCTACGCACCAAACGCCTACTTGCGCAGACGCCCCTGCGGGGGTGTCACTTTTGCAATCACCGCACATGCACCGAGTGATATATCGCGACAAAAATATATAACTTGGGAGTGCTCACTGCGCACTGCTTCTTCGCCTTCGTTCCAAACGTTCCATGGCGGCGGAAACACCCGTGATCCACCAAGAGAACAACACTGCTCGGTAATCTTATCATACGATTCGATTAGAAAAAAAAACTGACGCAATGTCCGTGTTTTCGCTGTCGCGGAACGTCTGGAACCAAGGAGCGAAAGCGGCGCATACTGAGTACTGTCACTACAAGTTACTCATTTTTGTTGCGATGTCCGAGCTCGGTGCTTCGGCTGTGCCTGCAAATGGGACCCCTTGCGATTTTTTTTGGCGTTCCCGTGTGCGCGCAGTTCTAGGGAGCGAAAATGCAGGCTGGCAATCAGAAAAGGACGCGCTTGCGCAGTGCGCGCTTTCGAGCTTCTCTCATAGCCACGAGAAGGCGCCGCAGTGCTGTTCGCCTCTCCCTAAGAAATGAGACGAGCCTAGAGCAGAGTTTTATAACTACAGCCCAAGGTGCTAGGCTAGAAGGGGACGAAGCTACTGAATATATAAGAACAAGGGTGACAGAAAAATTTCAACAAAGAAGTACTTTATGCACCACAATAGACAAGGACGAATCAAGTGGTGCAATGGCTCCATTTTCACAACAAGAGTGGGAAAGGGCTGAGAAAAGGGTTCCTAGTAGTACATCAACAGGCCCAGATGGCAGTTTAATTAGGCTGATAAAGTCATTAGGTCCGAAGTCTAAGCAGGCTTTGAGAGAGGCAGTGAGCACAATAATAATCGATGGTGAAGTTCCCGATGGATGGAAACTTAGCAGGATGAGCATGATCTATAAAGGAAAGGGGGACAAAGCTGACATAAACAACTACCGTCCTATAACAGTGACATCAGTGGTCTACAGGCTGGCGATGCAGATTATAAAGGAAAGACTGCAGGCGTGTATAGAGGATGAGGGGGTGCTGGGGGAACTGCAGAATGGGTTTCGGAAACACAGGAGGTTGGAAGACAATCTGTTCTCACTGACGCAGTGCATCGAAATAGCAGAAAAGGAACACAGGCCCTGTGGCTAGCATTTTGGATATCAAGGGAGCGTACGATAGCGTGGTTCAAGAGGAACTGTGGGGAATACTGGACACACTAGGCGTGGAACATGTAGTCACTAATCTTTTAAAGGGTATCTATAAAGGTAACAAGGTAGTTATAAAGTGGGAAAAACAGGTATCCAAGCTTGCAGAGGTAAAACGGGGGCTTAGGCAGGGGTGCCCCCTGTCACCCTTATTATTCATGATGTACCTACAAGGATTAGAGGCAAAATTAGAGGGAAGTGGACTGGGCTTCAACCTCTCTTTAGTCAAACAAGGAAAACTTATTGATCAGGCACTACCAGCATTAATGTACGCAGATGATATAGTGCTAATGGCCAACAACAAGGAAGATTTGCAGAGATTGATGGACATCTGCGGTAATGAGGGAGATAGGTTAGATTTTAGATTCAGTAAGGAAAAATCAGCAGTCATGATTTTCAATGACAACGAAGGTAGTGAGCTTAGAATACAGGAGGTCACGCTAAAGATAACAGATAAATACAAATATCTGGGCGTATGGATAAGCAATGGGACCGAGTATCTGAGGGAACACGAATTATACGTGACGACTAAAGGTAACAGGAATGCAGCAGTCATGAAAAATAGGGCACTGCGGAATTACAATAGGCATGATGTTGTGAGAGGAATATGGAAAGGGGTCATGGTTCCTGGGCTGACGTTCGGCAATGCGGTCTTGTGCATGAGATCAGAAGTTCAAGCGAGAATAGAAATTAAGCAACGTGGAATAGGTAGGCTTGCTTTAGGAGCTCACGGGAATACACCAAATCAGGGAGTACAAGGTGATATGGGATGGACATCATTTGAGGGCAGGGAAGCTAGCAGCAAGATAAAATCTGAGAAGCGATTGAGAGAAATGGGGGAAGAGCGTTGGGCTAGGAAGGTTTTCAGCTACTTGTACATGAAGAATGTCGATACAAAATGGAGGAAGCGAACCAGGAAGTTGACTGGTAAATACTTAGAAAACAGCAGGTGGCCAAACCAAAAAGAACTATCGGTTAAGAAGAAAGTGAAGGAAACGGAGATTGACATGTGGAGAATGGGCATGATTAAGAAGTCCGCACTAGAGATCTACCGAACTTTTAAGCAGGAAATTGCCAAGGAAAGGATCTGTGATAATACTCGGGGTAGTTCTCTACTGTTTGAGGCCAGGACGGGAGTACTGCGAACGAAGACATATCGGGCCAAATACGAAGGGGTAGACACAGTATGCAGTGCGTGTGGAGAGGAAGAAGAAACTGCCGAACAATTGATAATGTTCTGCAAAGGGCTTCACCCTATAGTTCAGGATGATGGCGCAGAGTTTTTCAAAGCACTGGGGTTTAGGGACCGGGAGGGCAAAATAAACTTTAAGCGGGTAGACTTAACTAGAAGGAGGTTATCTGATTGGTGGCTAAAGTCAAGGCACGAGTGAAAATTAAACTCTTCACTGCAAAGTACGAATCCTCAAACTCACTTTTTAAGGAAAAAAATATAGTTTTTGGTTCATTAGGTATTACGGCTTGGTGGCGCTAGCCACCGCCCGATCTAAAGGGTACAGCCTTATCCATCCATCCATCTATCCATCCATCCATCCATCCATCCATCCATCCACGTGCTCCCGTGGTCTTTAAACTTGATCGCCACTTTACACCGGGATAGGTGCCCGTCGAAAAAACCAAGGTGTTCCGAATTTTCAGGGGCCCTCGACGACTGACAGCCTCATATCATTGTTAAGCTGTAGAATCAGCTGCAGTGCAGTTGCCGCGCAGGGCTGCGTACAAACAGGTTACATCTGTGTTACATCTGTTACTGCTGCAAGAAGTCACCTAGCCATGTTGCAGGCACGTAGCCAGAACATTTTTGGTGGGGGGCATCACCTTGATTTCGAGGAGGGCACTCCCTTGAAATGGAGATTTTTCACTCCCTTCGCCATGGCGAAAAACAATTAGGGAAAGGGCGGGGCACGGGCCCGGTGTGTCACCCCCTGGCTGTACCCCTGCCGTGTTGTCATCCAATGTGGTGGGTAGTACGTTTTCAAGTAGAATGGACCGACTGGAGAAAGCGCGTTGCCACACATAGCTACTCACGCCATAGACAACCAATGATGCACTAAGCATGTGCCATATGTGCTCTTTGGTGATATCGGCTGCCTACTACCTGTGCTACATTCCACGCTTGGTAATACCCGCTCATACATACAATGGTGCCGATTAATTACACAATAGGTTAGGATTTTTGTTTTGCCAACTGCGCTTTCAGTGATATATTGATCAGAAAAACCATCGCGTATACCTTGACTGAGCTCAGGAGTTTTGGCCAAGCCTTTGAAAGTACTGCAGAACGGTTCAATTCTACTACTAATTTATTACAAAAGTGGGGACGACCACCAATATATCGGTGCTCGTCCACACTGCAAGCAGAATTTTATAAACTATAGCTTCCAGAGCCATAAGAATACATAGTCTGTTTTGTTTATCGCGTTGTCATAAAGCGTACTACCAATACTGCAACGTCAGTAGGTGTTACACAGGAACTGTCTCCTCAAATTATGTAACAGGCACTCGTTAATGCAGTACATTTACTTACGAATTGCACCACGTGGTGCTGGGTCATTGCAGCACGTAAGCGTTTCTCTGACACATTGAGGTGACCAACCATATAAAAAAGCATGCCCTTTTCTGGTTCAACCCGCGAGGTGTGTCCTAAGAATCTGACATATTCTATTTTCCCTGTTCATGGCTCTATTTAGACGGAACCACGTAGCGTATACTCGTAGACGAATGCCGGCAGGTGGTGCGCCGGCAATTTCGTACACGGTTTGTTGGTATGCACCTTATGTGACTGTGGCAGTTTTATGATTTATGCAACATGCCTGTAATTCTCGTCAGTCATACTGGATTTACCTCATAGTTAAGTAAACGACCACGAGAGCACCCAGACGAAAGTGGATAGACGGAGAAATCAATTGCGTAACCAGAAATTTTTTTCGATAGGGAGAGATTAGCCTTCGAAATGTTTGTTTAGCGTGTATGTATACAAGCGCTAAACGATCAAAGTACCGCCATTTAAGATGTGCTTTGCACTTAATGCTGCGTTGGCAATGCAACGTTTTATTCGCTCACCAATGCCCCCGGCGCGGTGGTCTATAGTGGCTAATGTACTCGGCTGCTGACCCGCAGGTCACGGCATCGAATCCCGGCTGCGGCGGCTGCATTTTCGATGGAGGCGGAAATGTAGGCCCGTGTGCTCACATTTGGGTGCACGTTAAAGAACCCCAGGTGGTCGAAATTTCCGGAGCCCTCCACTACAGCGTCTCTCATTACCATATGGTGGTTTTGTGACGTTAGACCCCACATATCAATCAATATATTCGCTCACCAAAGCAATGAGAACAATAATATAATCCACGCCACAACGCGGCCGCGGAGGCCAGGGATAGAACACGCGTCCTCGAGCTTAGCAGCACCTTAGCAGCTATGTTAGCAAGGATTAGGTACGCTGGCAAGAGAGCACCTGTTTGCTGTGAAATGCGAGTGTGGACCATACAGGCGCTCCCCCGTAGTGCCCATTTATTACACAAAATACCCAACAATGTGCAATACTCGCTGCGGGGGTCCCCTAATTACTGAATCCGAGAGACCAATTTAATCGTGGGAGTAAGTCAATTCGTAATGCTCGAGCCTGAGTAGAAATAGCGTAGGACCACTGCCTTATGAAAGCCACCACGAATGCGTGCACTGAGTTGAGACACAACTGGCGAGTTAAGCAGTGCGAAATTGCTAGGAACATTCGGTGCAGACAAATGAAAGGACGCCGTTGAATCACACGTGCTTCATTAACACAGAGAACATACACACACACGAACACACCCACACACCGAGTAAGAAAAAAAAGGAATGTCCAGTTTATCTAATACAAAGTTGCACCACACAGTAATCATCACAGCATCGAGTCGTACGTGGGCTCTTCGAGGGCGTTGAAGGTGTTGAAGAAGAAGGAGGCGGCGCCCTCGGACAGCCACAGTGGGTTGACGATCCAGTGGTACTCGATGTAGCCTAATATGGCACCCGCCAAGGAGTCCCCCAGGAACTGCCTGCCCATGAGGAGCTTGCAGATGGCGACGGCGATGCACCACACCAGGAAGGGCAGCTTGAAGAGCGGGAACAAGTGGCTGTGCTTGACCACGATCAGGGTGACCAGAAAGGCGCGCGAGGTGAAGCCCGAAGGGAAGCTCAGGTTGGACGAGAGGGGCTCGCGCTCGTACTGCTCGCGGCTCACGCCGGGTCGGCGGCGGCGCGCCACGGCCTTGAGCACCGCCACCAGCACGACGTCGATCAAGAGAGCTGCGATGGAAGATTTGAGAATTCGGTCGCAATCGGGAGTCGCTAAGTGACCAAATGAGCGAGCAAGCGCGCGGCTGCTGCGACGTTATCATACAAATAAAGACAATGCGCCATTTGTTGCCTTTGTAAGAGAAAAGTATACTGCTTTGTTATTGGTCATGTTATATGATTTGTGAATTTTATAAGAGGTGTACTTACATAACGAACGCATGCCATTTCTTGATTGTGTGACTACTTCTACTTCATTATCGCCCATATGCTTATATGTGCAAGTTCTTTTGCACAAGATATGAGTATTTATTGCGAACCTCAGGTGCAGACCTCAGGCCTCTGACGAGCGTATAAAACACCGTATGTTTATGTGCCGTTTTTTGTGCATCATTGCAAAAATTAATACGACTGCTACATATATATCAAGCTATCACACAGAAGGCGAAAGCGAACAGGGAAGAAGCGGTATGTAGAGGTGCTGCTAGAAAGCGTCGCAGAAAAGCCACATCACAAAGCGTGTGCAAGCCCAAACAGAGCTCACTGAAGAGCTTACGTATATAACTTTCAAAACTCGCGTGCGTGGTCAATGAACAGAAACGTAAAGCTGTGCAGCAGTGACGATGGAGTTGAAACCGGAGAAGCGAGAAAAAGAACAAAATAACTTCACCTGACTTCCGACAGCTTGTGCTTGGCGCGCAAATCACTGCCAGTCTTAATCTCTTAATGTTTCGTTTTTCTTTAGAACTCTGTAACGCGATATTACGGTAAACCAAACTTAATTATTCGATAACGCACAGTAAGCGCTTTAAGCCACTTACGAGGAATTATCGATTTATACATGTCTGACTATAATGGGAATGAACGCAGTGCCGATCGACATCGTGCTAGAAAGGTATGGCTTGTATTGGTGAAGCACTGCAACACTCTTAATTTTTATTGGTAAAAATTTGCCAATGGCCTTGTTCTGAGGACGCTGATAGTGCCACCATAGTATATGCCACCATGGTATATGCCACCATGTATATACCCGAGATTTGGATTACACGCAACGTCAAGTCAAATCGGGACGCTGACGACGAGGTCAACAAGCGGAGCGTATACAATGTCTATCAACTTTATGGTGCCTTCACGTACGCAAGATTTATGGGGAGCGTTCTAGACTGCTTTCTGAAGATGCACGGAGTTGTAGAACCTTGGTTTTCAAAAAAAAAATAAATACCGTATCGGTAGCACTCATGGAGTTGGTATAACAAACGCTACAGCGCATGGAAGTTTTTTTTTTTTTTGACATCAGTGAAAGGAAACGCAGAGAATATTAGGTGTGTAGTAGCACAGACACGCCCGACGGTCCAATCGAATAATCTAAGATAGAGCATTAATTTGCAGCATTTCAAGCGCACGACCCACGCTACCAATGCGAACCTTGCGTTGAAAGTATGCGAACAGCGAGTGCTTCTTTAGACTACTTTAGGGAACGACGGCGAGTCAACCTTAAAATCGGGCTACAGGCAAAGGCTGATCGACCACGATCGGTTACCAGAACCGCGGATGCCTCGGAAACATCAGGTGTCGGTCTTCATCGCCACAGCTAAAAGCACGCCAAGGACGACCACTGCGCGTGAGTGTCTACCATATCACTGTTCGTCCGAAGCTGTCAGGTTAACTAGATGCAAAGCAGCTCTGACTAGCTTGTGTAACTCTGTCCCTCCGTCCGCGCCACGTTCCCCTGGCTGCAGGTGTTGGGGCGGTGCCAAGTAGGTCACGCCTGCCCTCGCAATGCGTGCGAGTTGACGTCACTCTCTCCCTAGCCTGTCGCCGCTCGCCGCATGTCATCTCTCGCTTCACCTTCTCCGCTGTTCGCAACGTTCGAGCGCACATCAAGCGATCAGTCATTCTCCTTAAGGAATCCTCTACTCAACGAAGCGGCGCGCACGACAGCGGCATTACAGTGAACTAGAATAAACCTTCTAGTTCACTGTAGCTGCATGGTGCGACAGCTGCATACTCTGCTGGGGGCGCCATGGTAGTTTCGCGGTATACAATGCCTCATATGTGTTTATTGTCATATGTATATGTGTAGTTTACGATTGATTCCCTTGCACCCACGCCTGCGCCAAAGGTCTGAAGATCAGACCGACAGTATTGTATTAAATAAATAAATAAATAAATAAATTAAATAAACAAATAAATAAACAAATAAATAAACAAATAAACAAATAAATAAACGAATAAACAAATAAATAAACAATCAATCCCGGAGCGCACGCGCCTCCGTTTCTCATGCGCAACGCCGCGAAGAGCGCCAGCATCGACGCCGCCGCCAGTGTCAGCGTTGGCGCCGGCACAAGCTCTGAATAAAGTACACCATCTCCCACTCAAGCGAACAATCTCCCAGCTACTTCGCATACACACATGGTTCCCTTCAGAGGGAGATGGTTTAATTTTTTCGTTCCCACGCTGCTACCAGGCTTACAGCACGTGCCACTACGAGTAGGGCTAGCCGAGTGCCGAAATAACGGGAAGAGGGTGCCAACGCTCCGAAGAGATACGCGTTGCTGGTAATATTAAGCAGTTTCAAACCGATGGTAGTATTTCGCCAGCACTGCTATCACCCAACAGCGCGGAAGTTAAGCATCTTTTTATTTTAGACGCAGAAAAAAAAATGTCCATGCCGCTCGCACCGTTGCCAGGAAAAAAAAGTGATCGGTCGTAGAGGGATGCTGTCTACCACGTAACGAAACACACTTGGCCCTATCATCATCATCATCATCATCATCATCATCATCATCATCATCATCATCATCATCATCATCAGCAGCAGCAGCAGCAGCAGCAGCAGCAGCAGCAGCAGCAGCAGCAGCAGCAGCAGCAGCAGCAGCAGCAGCAGCAGCAGCAGCAGCAGCAGCAGCAGCAGCAGCCTGACTACGTCCCCTGCAGGACAAAGGCCTCTCCCATGTTCCGCCAGTTAACTCGGTCCTGTGATTGCAGCTGCCAATTTATACCCGCAAACTTCTTGATCTCATCCGCCCATCTCTAACCATCTGTCTCCCCCTAACCCTCTTGCCCTCTCTAGGAATCCAGTTAGTTACCCTTAATGGCCAGCGATTGTCCTGTCTACGCGCTACATGCCCGGCCCATGTCCATTTTCTCTTCTTGATTTCAACTACTATATCCTTAACCCTCGCGTGTTCCCTAATCCACCCTGCTCTCTTCGTGTCTCTTAAGGTTACACCTACCATTTTTCTTTCCATTGCTCGCTGCGTCGTCCTCAATTTAAGCTGAACCGTCTTTGTAAGTCTCCATGTTTCTGCTCCGTAGCTAAGCATCGGCAGGATACAGCTGTTATATATCTTCCTTATGAGGGATAGTGGCAATCTACCTGTCATATTTGAGAGTGCTTGCCAAATGTGCTCCACCTGATTCTTATTCTTCTAGTTACTTCAATCTCGTGGTTCGGCTCCGCGGTAATTACCCGCCCAAAGTGGACATAATCTTTTACAACTTCAAGTGCACTATTACCTATCTCAAAGCGCTGCTCTCTTCCGAGGTTGTTGTACATTACTTTCGTTTTCTGCAAATTAATTTCTGCCCTATAATAAACACTAAATATGTTGCATAATTGACCTTAACTAAATCAGCGTAGCATAAAACATACCTGAACAAGCGCCACATGACGGTAATAAAAATGTTGGTGTCAGTTGCGGTTAAACATGCACATTTTAACGATCCTCGGTTCTGTTACGAGAAGCGTGTTTATGTAGTTTAATGTCCCAAAGCGACCGGGGTTATGGGAGAGCCCACAGTGAAGTGTTCCGGATGATTTAAACCACGCGTGGTTCTTTAAGGTGCATCTAAACTAAGCACACGAATGTTCTTCGCATTTCGCCTCTATAGAAATTTCGCCACCGTGGCCGGGAATTGAACCCGCGCCCTTAGCAGCGCCATATCAGTACTGACGCAGTATTCACATGCACTAACAAAGAAGCGATTGGCGAGGAGGAGATATGGTCCGCAAAGACGAAAGGGAAGTCAAGAAAGAAAACTGTATCCAGCCTTCGAGCTCACGGTGATGCCAGGGTCCATTGTTACACTGTGCATGCGGTTACGACATGGGATGCTGTTCGTAGCTAAAAAAAAAAAAAAACAAAACTGCCAGACCTGCACATATCGCGCAGCAGTCACAGAAAAACCTAGAAGTGCGGCCTTCCTAGAGCTTTTTTGAACATGCTTTGAGTAATTGCTAAAGGCACATTTGCATCGTAGCCACTACGCCATAAATCAGCATAATTTTCGTGTAATACGGATGCATTCACTATGCCACTGTTCAGAGAAGCGTAGTACCCGCTGCACGCTTGCAAAGAATTAGCGTAACTTTTTGACGTTGTGGCTGACGACGACAAGGAAATATGCCCCGAGGCTTTTCTAATGGGGTCAGAGCATTTGACGACCCGCTCTTTACGCAATTCGCACGGTGTGACGCCTGGTTGTTCCTTTGCTGTTCTAAAACGCTTTATTACTGATATTAACACGAATTTTTTCTCGACATAAAGCCCGCCTAGGGTCTCAATTTGCGACGGAGTTTCAAGCACCGGACCGGCGTATAGCTCTGTAGTAGAATACTGGACTGGCACGCAGCGGACCCGGGTTCACATCCCAGTGTTTTTTTGCTGTTTTTTATTTACTTTGTTTATTTTTGCTTATCTCCAGCGATAAAGGTTACGGACACCGGCGGCGCCAAAAACGAGCCCTGCTGTGATCTCGTAACAACTTTCGCTCTAAAGGAAAAAAAAAAACGCGTACCAAGGAATACGTTGAAGAGGAACGTCCTCAGTGCCAAGTCGATGGAGAAGAACCACATGAGGAAAATGAGGCCACCGAACCATATGGCGAAGTGGGCGGACATCTCAAACATGGTCAGCATGCGGCGGTACTTGGCGAGCGGCGATGACTCTGTGGCCGCCAGAAAGAGGTGCGAAGATATAACCTCATCCACTCCCCGCATGACAAGCAGCACCCGATTACGCTTCCAGCCCGGCGGGGGCAAGTCCTTCTTCAGAGAATCGACGTCTTCGTCGGCGCGAAGTCGGTCGTCGTCGGACGCCATCTTCTCATTGACTCTGAAGAAAAAAAAAAAAGACAGGTGTGTGGGTTTAATAGAAAACAGAATGGTACGCACCATAGTTGCGGAGAGACGTTGTGTTCGCACAAACGGTACACAGCTTAGATATGGAGCACAAGGAAAAAAAAAAAACTGGACGTCTACAACATAATGTTATGTCTAGTAAGTCGCTATATAAAACTTGACTGCGGCTATTCTCATACACAAGCAATATTCTACTGTCCAAATAACGAAGGCATTTGGTACATGCAGCTGCGCTGGTTAATATCGAGCTGGAGGTATTCTAATGCTTGAGAAAACACTGATCAACCGTATAGTAAAACAGAGCCAACTCTCATCAAACGTCGAAGTGCGTCTCTCAATAAGCAACCACACGTTCACACTGCTTAGAGACATGAACTTTCCTCTTAAGAAGTTTATATACAAGCCTTACAAGCTACACTCAAGGTTTCTATTTTATCGCACTGTCGGAATTTTTATTCATTGTGGTTTCAGATGCATTTGACCAGCTCCTCAACATGCACTGAAAAATACGTACAACGCAACCTAGTAGTAGTTGCAGCATATAAGTACGGAAGCACGAAACAAGGATAGGAAAGAGCGCTGGAGTTTATTATTGACACGATAAAATTTTTTTTTTGGAGAATGGGAGGGTCAACCCCGCATCAAGTATGCTCGTTCTCGTGTTCGTAAGCGTTGCGTACAAAATGTAAAAATATAGGAGAGGGCGTGAGGAGTGAACGCCCCAGCCTCCTGGCAGCGTCAATGCAGGACGCGACTGAGCCGAACGGGTCGATAGGTCATACACCAGCTGCAATGCACCCAGCTCAAGCTATGTATTCCTTAGGAAAAGCTCAAAAGCTTCCTTTTTTTCTTGTATACGTGCCTATGTTCTCGTGTACATACACCAAAGCCACGGAAGCATGCATCCCCAACATCCCGATGCGGGATAAATCCTGAGCCAAGTTAGCTGTGAACAACCAGCGGGGTAATTCGTAAGAGCTTATTACCGGAAAAAATGCGTTAAAATACAATATCACAGGTAGAAAACAAGAAAGTTTCCTTTTTACGCGTATGCAATACGATCGAAACAGTGGCCTCCTGTAAGGGCGCATTGGAGGGAAATAGCGGATAGTGGAATCTGCGTGAGGCCGACCTTTCTGCATGGAACTGGCGTACCGTATCAACTCGCATGCAGTATCAACCCTATATAGGCTTATGTTGGCAATGAAGGTAACGCTAGTGCATTTCCCTCTTTTGCCGCTAGATCACCAGTACCTGCGCGTGTGCGCGACCGTGACGTGCACGCGTTATTCCGAGAGTCACGAGCTCGATACCGCGTCCACACTCTGAACTCGCCAACGCGACGAAGGAGCGCGCGCCTTCTAAATAAAGCAGTCGCACCAACCACCATCTAGGAAGCCGTTCATGTACCGTGATGGCGTGATGCAATAATTTATATAGCAAAGACACAGACCACCATAGTCTGTCTCTTTGCGAAGTGTAACCTTACTGTATGATTTTCTTTTTTCGCTAATACAAAAAAGTAAGTTACCAATATTATTTGCACACACAAAAAACGACCATGCATACGGTTTCGCAACACACGGTTAAGCCACACATCATTTCTTCTTCTGAGCAGCAAGTGAAAAGCAGAACAAGAACACTGGTCGCAACTACACGTTTCTACGAATATGTCTATGAGGTCCAGTTGTCACGTATTGGCCCAGTTATGCACGTTACAAATTAACAATGCGTAACTATTCTCGTACAATTCTGGTGCTATTTTGGACAATGCGGAATTCCTCCTATTGTTAACTCTGATTGGGCCAGAGAGCTGCTACGGCCTAACAGCCTTAAACTTCCACCAGTTTGTAATTTGTACAAGCACGCAGGCATTTTTGCCGTTTTACTCCGTATTCCTCCGAATATCACCACCGTAGTTGAGAATTGAACCAGCGACGTCGCGTTTAGCACTACCTAAAGGCCAAGGCCTCAAAGCAGGCATGGTTCGTAAATGCTATAGCCTATTATCACCGCCAACGTTTATGTGCACACGCAAACCGAACGCAACGCGGATGGCGGCAGCGCCGCTAGGCGTAACGTGCATGCAAGCGACCAGTTTCCAACAATCGCCTTCTGTGTTTGCCAGCTGACACGCACCGAGCACGCTTGTATGTAAAAAAAAGAGAAAGGCAGACGCTCTTCATTGTATTCAACGCACTCCTGTTTTTTTTTTTTATGTACAGCCCGGTAGCCAGGTTCCGCTATTGCAGTCTTTCAGACGTCAACGGAAGAAAAAGAGGGGGCGCAGCCAAGCAGCCCGGTGTAGGATAGTGGGTTCGCGCAATGCAGACAGCGCTTCCGTTGGGTCTCTTCGCTCAGCGGCATAGGCGTGCGTGCAGATTTCTCCATTACAAAGGGGGCCAAGTTTAACCGTAGCAACATTTTTATGCAAACTTTTTTTTGCAACAGAACATTGTGTATGGGCGTTCATGCACTCTACAGCTAATTCGACCTACGTGGCGGCATAACATTCTTGATATGACAGTAGCGCGACGCGTGTTGTCGGGCCAGCGCCCGCACGGTGGCCGTTCGGGAGAGGATATAGATAAGGTTTTGGACACTTTGGAGAGGAGGGTTGGACACTTTGGAGAGGTAATGGAGGAGAGTGTTGGTATTTTCTCGACCTACGTGGCGGGAAAGCGTGCGCAGCGGTCATGACACCACGACACGCGGTGACGCATCGTGCCGTTTACAGTCGTGTGTGAAGCAAGTCTGTCAGGTACGCAACCAAGTCGTGACAACTGTTTTTTTCATTGCGATAGCCATTATATGGACACTCTTGGTGGATTTTGCCGCCGTCGTCGGCTTTGATGACCGCCGTCATTCACCTTATATGCATACATATCTGTATACATGAAAACGAAAAGAAAGTAAAATAATCAAGAAAAAGACTCCGGTGCGCGGAATCGAACGTCCGACCTCTTGCTTGTGAGTGTGTAGCATTAGCCACTGAGCCAAGTAGCACCTTCTTCAATTTTGAAACGCCAAGGTATTTATACCAATACCAGTTACCGCTGATGAGGGGGAGTGATTTGAAATGAAAAAAAAGAAAAATGAGCCCCGTAATTGTCTCTCAGGGGGAGGACACCTCAACAGTAGCTCACGAGGGGTGGGGGTAAAGGAGGGATTAAAAGGATAATTGATTGATATGTGGGGTTTAACGTCCCAAAACCACCATATGATTATGAGAGACGCTGTAGTGGAGGTCTCCGGAAATTTTGACCACCTGGGGTTGTTTAACGTGCACCCAAATCTGAGCACACGGGCCTACAGCATTTTCGCCTCCATCGGAAGTGAAGCCGCTGCAGCCGTGAATCGATCCCACGACATACGGGTCAGCAGCCGAGTACCTTAGCCACTAGACCTCCGCGGCGGGGCGGATTAAAAGGAGAGGATTAAAAGGTATAGATATAGGGGAAGGAGAGAGCGAGGCGCAGGGCCAGTGAGAGATGAAAGTAAAGAGAAGATATGAAAGATGGACACGGTCGCAGGAGTCCGAGGACGGGGCACCACTCGGCGAGAGCTCTTGTCAGCGTCAGGAGATGGCGTAGGGCGAGCCCAGTCAGCCATAGCTGCGCTGTCGTCGGAGATCGCTAGGGCACAACCAGTCGGCACGAAATCCAGAGAGCGAGTCCCACTGATGAGGCCCATCTTGGGGCAACTATCATGTTTTCAGCATTACCAGTCAGATGGCGCAATGAGCACACATCGCCAGATTGTCACGACGCGTCGACGCGCGCTCTCCCACGCGTACTTTGCCCCACAGAGGGTGAGGGGTAATTTCGCAGTGGGTAAAGTCCCTTGATATTAACAAAATCTTTTTAGCCGAGCCGCCGTACCGCGCACCTTCCTCGGCCGCCTCTCACCTCTCGGGCCGCCACGAGCATCGCGCGTGTTATCAGCGTGACATAACATTCTCGATATGACAGTAGCGCGAGGCGTGTTGTAGGGCCAGCGCCCGCACGGTGGCCGTTCGGGAGAGGATATAGATAAGGTTTTGGACACTTTGGAGAGGAGGGTTGGACACTTTGGAGAGGTAATAGAGGAGAGTGTTGGTACTTTCTCTATATTAAGGGACTTTAGAAGTGGGTAGAGTCGTACGCCTTGGGCTCTCACCGGAACAATTCTGTTGTAGTTACCGGGCACACAAAGGTTATTGCCCTCGCATCAGTCTAGCGCGCTTTCCAGACACAGCGAAGTAACAACTGCGACACTTATTCGCGTTCATCTGTATTTGTGAGTACATTTTGTGCGTCATTTGTGCGTGAGCAACGCGGGGTGCGCTTCAATCTGCTCGTCATTTTTCTCCATGGTGATGCTTCAATTTGTTGATATCGCATTCATTACTTCGCCTTTGCGGTAAAGCTGCGAATTTTTTTGCTACCCGTCGGGCAGTTCTTAAATATTATATATACCTATTTCTGGCATTTTGTTTCAGCACCACAAAATGAACCCGGGTGGAGTATAAACAATACATCTCGAAGTGAAGAGCTTTGGTAGGGGGGAGGGCATATCCTTTAGAGAAATTCTTGCAAGTTGACGTCCCTAAACCTCGCTGTAGTTTTGAACGACGCCGTAGTGGAGGGCTCTGCAAGTTTGGCCATGTGGTCTACCTTAACATACACTTAAACCTAAGCCTCTATCATTTCACTTAAACCTAAGCCTCTATCATCGAAACGCGGCCGCCGGGGTTCGATCCCGTGACCCCCCGTTATGCAAGCATAATCACTAGGCCACCGTGGAGGGTCGCCTTCCCTATGTTAACGAATGGGGGTTAATAAAACTGCAGCGCGACAAACAGTAAGACACACTATATATATATATATATATATATATATATATATATATATATATATATATATATATATATATATATATATATATATATATATATATATATATATATATATATATATATATATATATATATAT